GGCATGAAGACAAACAAAAGTCTAGACTATACATAGAATATTCATCGGAGCGTGTTCAATCGACGTAACAAATGATTGATCAAGTCTTGGTCGGTGACCCTCGATTTCAAGCGGTGGACATTTCTATTATAAAATATAAGCGACGGGAAATACACCTTCAAATGTGGCAGGTAAAACAACAATATATTAAAGAAATAGCCCAACGAGTTTTTTAAAAAGATTCCTGAAGAGAACGTCGCTAAATCGAGACTCGCGCCGGGCCTCACAGACTTAAAAGCTACGTCCCTGATCTTATTTAAGAACGCACTAGACGCCCTGGTAGCAGCTCCTTGTCCTTGTATTTAATTTAAATGTTATAAACTATCCCGAGCAAGCTACTCCAACGTGCAATTTTCCATGTGGTAGTCACCCCTCTGGCAGGGGGGTCACCAGGTGCGGTCATCACCCCGTGCACCCCCCCCACCCCCGCCCACTCACCCCCCCCCCAGTGACACCCACTGTAACATCGACATCCGCATTCCTAAAAATGAAGGGAAAACTGGCATTTTAAACGTAGTGTCACACACTGGAGACGGAAGCCACAGAAAGCTGTCAATGGGCTGCAGGCATTCTGACCATGTCAATCGGAAACAAATGGAAGTCACTGGAAGAAATATAGACTTTTGTAGGAATGTCGTTACACCAAATGTTCCCGCATGTACATATTCAAGGGGAAAAATAGGATGAGATGATTGAGGGAGAGAGTAAGTGAGTGAGTAAGTGAGTGAGTGAGTCAGGAAGAGAGAAAGAGAGACAGACAGAGAGTGAGTGAGTGATAGATGTAGATTTTGTAAAAATGTAAATATACCACATGTGCACATAGGTAAATATTCAAAAGGAGAAATAGGGTGAGTGAATGAGTGAGTGAGTGAGGCGAGTGAGTGCGTGAGAAAGAGAAGGGGGAAAGGGTGAGAGAGAATGAGATGGGGTTAGGGAGACTGACTGTTATTGCTCATATGAAGATACTGATTGGTACAAAATACTTAAAACATACGCCATAGTGGAGTTGCTTCCAACGGCCCTATAGTAAAAAAAAACACAAAACGAGGGACATCCACTGAACAGGTCAGTTTGCAGTTAGAACATTTTAGAATTCCTATTAAATCAAAAGCGGGATGTCCGCATTTCTATTTCTGTGAGACGAGATCCTTTCTTTGGAGGGTTTTGACAGAACCTTTCCCTCTGCTCCGTGAACGAGAACTACATTGTTATCAAACCAGTCCCTAAAGCCTTTTGATTACAAACAGTTGACTGTCTTTAATACATCGACTTAAGGTCATCAAAAATATGTTGGACGTTACAGGAAGTAGGACCTCTTTAACACTTCCGCTCAACTGATGACGAGTTACTGGTTAAGATATGACGTGGTTTCCTTAAATAGATGACATGTTCCCGCTCATCAGATCGTGTGTTCCCGCTGATCAGATGGTGTGTTCCCCGCTCATCAGAGGGTGTGTTCCCGCTGATCAGATGGTGTGTTCCCCGCCCATCAGAAGGTGTGTTCCCGCTGATCAGATGGTGTGTTCCCCGCTCATCAGATGGTGTGTTCCCGCTGATCAGATGGTGTGTTCCCGCTGATCAGATGGTGTGTTCCCGCTGATCAGATGGTGTGTTCCCGCTGATCAGATGGTGTGTTCCCGCTGATTAGATGGTGTGCTCCCGCTGATCAGATGGTGTGCTCCCGCTGATCAGATGGTGTGTTCCCGCTCATCAGATGATGTATTCCTTCTCATTGGATGTCAATATCTCGGTGAAACAAATGACGTGTTCCTGTTCACTATGACCCCCTCCCCCACCCCATCCCCGCTTAGCAGCCGGCCCGTTTCTTCAGATAAACAGATGAAATGTTTTATTTCTTCAGGCTCTGAGTGGCAAGTTCTCTGTGAATAGAGTGTGTTCCACCGAACTGAAGTAGTTAAAACGTGTATCCTATACCAGCGTAGCTAGGGTTAGTGCCCCGGGGGCGGGCCACGATCTATTTACTGGTGTAACCAGGGCTAGTGCCCCGGGGGCAGGCCACGATCTATTTACTGGTGTAACCAGGGTTAGTGCCCCGGGGGCAGGCCACGATCTATTTACTGGTGTAACCAGGGTTAGTGCCCCGGGGGCGGGCCACGATCTATTTACTGGTGTAACCAGGGCTAGTGCCCCAGGGGCAGGCCACGATCTATTTACTGGTGTAACCAGGGTTAGTGCCCCGGGGGCAGGCCACGATCTATTTACTGGTGTAACCAGGGCTAGTGCCCCAGGGGCGGGCCACGATCTATTTACTGGTGTAACCAAGGCTAGTGCCCCAGGGGCGGGCCACGATCTATTTACTGGTGTAACTAAGGCTAGTGCCCCAGGGGTGGGCCAAGACCTATTTACTGGTGTAACCAGGGCTATTGCCCTGGGGGCGGGCCAAGACTTTTACTGGCGTAGGTAGGGTTAATTGCCCCAGGGGCGGGCCAAGACCTATTTATTGGCGTAATTAGGGTCAGTGCCCCAGGGGCGGGCCAAGACCTATTTACTGGCGTAACTAGGGTCAGTGCCCCAGGGGTGGGCCAAGACCTATTTATTGGCGTAACTAGGGTCAGTGCCCCAGGGGTGGGCCAAGATTTTTGCCACCCCCCCCCCCTTCCACGAGGAAAAAAAAAACCTGCCGTTCTGCGAAAGTGTCACACCTCCAGTTAAAGAAACAGGGCGCCGGTTGGGGTGGGCCGCCTCCTTCGCACACCATTCCTACGCCATTGATTCAGTTCGTTTTGTTTCAATTTTATTAACTTTTTCTATTTTTTAAGATTTAGTTATCACATTCAGTTATCACATTCAGTTTTAACCCTTCAGTTATATTTGTAAGTCTTTATTTTTTTTTTTTTAAACTTTTCCTTTTATTTGAATGCACATTACATTTTAAACTAGCTGAAGTGCCCGTCCTTAACACCAGCTTACTTTAATGAAAGAGTTGGCCTACAAACAAAGATCTCTAACATATTATTTTGAAAAAAAGAAGTCCATCGGCATGATTCGGAAACACAAGAGTCATCGTGCGCGGACTGTTCCATTGTTCTTGTATCTATGTCCAGTAATGGTTTTGCATTAATTATTTTATTTTTCTTTAAATTTAGAATATGAATTATATTTCTTCGCACTCATGAAGTTAAAGAACATAGTTTAATAAAGGCTTTGATTATTTTTTTAAAAAAATATTTGGATGTACTTAAAGAGAGAGAATTAATAAATTCATTTGTTTGTTTTTTTTTTGTTTTTTTTATGAATCCGCATGTTTTATTAAGTCTTATAAGAATTCAAGTAACTTCCTTTTTTTTTTTTAAAATTTTTATAAAAATCTTTCTACTAAAGTTTGTACAGCCAGATCAACTCATCTTCTCAATACGTTTCAAGAATCCTTTTGGGCAGTTTCTATCCATTTACAGAAACCCGTCAGCAGATATCGGTTGTCAGTGGAGCCATTGAGCTTAATTTAACGCATCACTGCCCACGACTCACTCACATGTCACTCCGCACATCTCCCGAATCCCACGGACTCCAAAACAGAGCCGAAAAGGAAATATAATCGTCCGCCAGACCTCCACAGAACTCTCTTGGAAAAACTGGGAGTTCAAAATAAGGTCTTTCGGGGGGCGGGGGGGGGGTTAAACTGAGATTTCAACAATAAGAGTATTGTATGATAGCCAACCATAAAACATGTATTATATGTCAGACAATCCGATAGAAAACATGTATTAACTGTTAGCCAATCCGATAGAAAACATAAAACATGTATTAACTGTTAGCCAATCCGACAGCAATCATCAAACATGTATTATGTGTTAGTCCATCTAATAACAAACATCAAACATGTACTATATGCATATCAGTCAATCTAATAGCAAACCATCAAACATGTATTATCTGTTAGCCGATCCGGCGGCAACTATCAAATACGAATTATACGCTAGTCAATCTAACAATCAAACATCAAACATGTCGTATTATGTATGAACCAATTCAATGCAGTGTTGTTGTTTTTTTATATGAAGAAAAATGTGTTGGCCTAGCCAGCTTCAGGTTTAAATCAAAACAACGAATTCTTTCGACAAAATGTCTCTGACTGTCTTAGTTTCATATTGAAACAATTGATGTGTGAACTTGTATTTAGTTTAATTGCTTTAATGTTGTCATAACATCTCATTGGGCATCTTTGATCTAAATACCACTTTTCAACCAAAAAAAAAAAAAAAAAAAAAAAAAATGAAATCCCTTCTATATTCCATTAAGTTTTTAAAAAATTCAAAAATGAACTGGAAAGAGCAACGCCTTTCTAAGAATTTGTAAGTGGTAATAGAATTCCACTGTTAAAGACAGTGTGGCCTTTCAATGAATAAATTATCTTTAAAAAAAAAAAAATTATAATAACCCTGAGGTTGGTGAAGCAAAATTAAAACCTTGTGCACTCAAACGAAAACAACATGAAATCAAGCAGCTATCACATGTGATTCATTTTTTGTCTTTCTTTTGGCAGAGTTCAGTGATTCCGTGGGCAATGTCACGTGACATCGTTAACTTTGATTCCTTGAAGTTGTCACCGTATTTAGCAGATATTTTTTGAACTTTGTTGTTGTTGTTGTTTTTGTTTTAAATATTATTTTATGTATAGTTGTGTGACTTGTCTCAAGTATGTTCCGGTTGGTAGCCATTCATTTATTCTTAATAAAAAAAAAATTAAAAAATTAAAAATTAAACCATAAATGGGTTTTAATTGTTATGTGGTCTATTATAGATATTTTTATTACATTACACTTGCTTTTGCATACATATAACTAAATGCAATATGTGTGCTGGTAAATTAATGAATGAATAGTATCCCGTCCTCCTCAATGGGGGAGCACGGAATTTCTCGGGTATCTATTTCCGGCCGCGAGAGAGACGAACGCTGGCAAACAACGTTTCTTCATCCGCTTTGTTCGGGGTGTCAGTCGATTTTGCACGCGCTCATTGGCTGGCTAATAGGCCCATCGCAGAGGAGTAGCGCCCCTTAACGCGCCACTGTCAGTCGGTAGTCACCAGCTCCTAATAAAATAAGGGTATTCCTTTTTTTCGGCACTGCTGTGGGACAGTTCGTCGGTCTTTACTTTTTGAATGAAAAACAAAAACAAAATGGACTTTCAGGGATCGCAGTTGTTGAGCGCTAAAAACTTGTCTAAAACATGGAGTTTCATTCTGACCCTTGTGACGCTGCTGTGGGTAGTTGGTCAGAAAAATTTAGTTGTTCGCGCTTCGGTGATAGACAGTGGACGAACGGGTGATCCTGTGAGGCAAGGTGCGTTTAAAGGTGATAGTGTCAGTGATCATTCTAATGGACTCCGTGGCGAGAAACATGGCGGCTCCGACCGAACAGGAAGACCCGGTCAGCTCGGTGGGCGTGACCGGTGGGCTACGACCAGTCAAAGGACACAAGGTAAATCAACTTTTACCATTAAAGAATCGGCAGACAGAAATGAAGACTTTGCTAGGACTTGGTTAGAAGGGAGGTTGTCTCACAGTGAGGACAATCGAGTTAATGATCGAGGTGAGGAAGAGGAGACGGTGTCCAGTGATGGGAAAAGGTCCTGGTTTCAATCGTGGAGCGGAAAGCGCCGCCGAAATCTTGGTCCCGTTGATACCACCAACAAAGGGACTGCTGAACGAGGTCTTAAAAGGCTCGGGTTGAAAGAAGTTCCCGATAATGAAGACGGAATTGCTAAATTTACCAGTGAGAACATTATAGGTCCTACAAAAATATTAAACTCTGCCCAGCAATTTAGGGGTGAAAGTTGGTCGCCGGGACCAGATTCGGTGCAGGGGCCATTACAGAATGACGGGAAGATCTCGCGAGAAGCCTCGGACGAGAATTGGGAAAGTTTAGCCCGTTATCAATCGCATATCAATCAAATCTACGATTACCTAAATAGCCAGGGAGGAAGGCAGTCAACCATCGGTGACTCAAAATATTTTTCACTAATTCCTTACTTTTACAATGTGCCAAACTTGCAGACGGCACAAGATAAGAACATTCCAGACCAGGGAAACGTCTTCTCAAATTCGGATAGCGATTCCCAATTTAATGTGAACCAAAAGAAATCGGCACAGGGAGAAACACCTGAATCAGACTGGAGTTCAAGTCGTCAGAGATGGATGTCGCATAAAATGAAGCAACCAGATTCATACCTGCCGGACAGTGACAACTTGGCGCCACGTCTGACTGCATTCAATGACCTTAAATTCAAGAACTCGACGATGCGTGAGTGGATGGCCAGAGAGAATGGCCGAGGGGTCCTTTTAAACGCCTTCAAATCTTTATACCATCAGATGCCGAATGCTCCTGGCGGGCAAATAAAATTTAACGAGAAAAAGACACTAGCCAAAAATGTGAACACTGAGAAGGCAGGAAGACGCTCCCAATCAAAGGGACCGAAACCATCCTCTTACTCGACGCACAGGAAGCGACCCGCCTTCCATTCCTGGGGTGGTAAAAAACGGAACACTGGATACAGTTATTGGTCTTCAAATGTCCCTGGTTTAGATCAAAATGTTCAACCCACTAATACGAGATTTGTACTCAAAGAACTGCCATCGAGAAACGAGCGAAGTATTCTATCTTTCAAAGTGAAACGCAGTCAGGGTCATACTAACCCCGAAGACTCCGTTGCAAATCTTGAAACAGGACAGACGCATCATGGAGATCAATTTGAAAATCTAGGATCAGATCGGCCAAGAAACAATTTGAACAGTGGGGAAAGTGACAGACCTACAACAATCACTGGCAGTTCACCGGCTCCGCTAATGTCTCATCGAAATGTATTGAAAAACAACAGCGAACCCTTCAAGAGCATCGATAATAAACCAGATAGAAAAGTAAGTGGGGGTGATGACAAATTAGAGCGCAGGTCAACAGAAAATGACCCACTTAGAAATAGAAGGCAGTCAAACTCTTTGAAACTGCTGCAAGCAGGCGATAGAGCCGTTGTTAAGACGGAGCTGACCCAGGTCAAAACAAACTTTGACCATGTCAGGACAGCGAGAAGTAATCCTACAAACGGCAAAATCTCTCGGCGACTTACACTGACACACAAGCAAGAGGAAAGAAGATCACCGTCGGATGTGTCTCTGATCAAGCGCGGTAAACGAGAAGCAATACACGCAGAGTTATCCCCTTCAAATCTAAGGGACGTTAATTTTATGAACGAGTTAAAACAAAATGGTGGAGGTAACGCAGTTCCGGTAGACGTCACTCTTTTGGACGCTGATGAAACTTCTTCTCCAAATGAACCGTCATTTCCAATGTTTGGAATGTATCCCTACACAAAACTGGGAGAAATATTGGGGCAGACTGGTCGGCAAGCGGTAGAGAAACCGTCTCTTTATACGTGGTGGGAGAAAAGGGACATTTTAGGAGACGTGGAAAAACGACCTTCTTTTCACTCGTGGTCTGGAAAACGTAATGTTATTGGTGAGCTCGAAAAGAGAGCTTCATTTCATTCGTGGTCAGGAAAACGGGACAGTGTCGGACAGCTAGAAAAAAGACCTTCATTTCATTCGTGGTCGGGAAAACGAGATAATGTCGGAGAAAGAGAAAAGAGACCTTCGTTTAGTTCATGGTCTGGAAAACGTGATAATATTGGTGAATTAGAAAAGAGACCTTCTTTTCATTCATGGTCAGGAAAACGGGACAGTTTTGAAGAGCTAGAAAAGAGACCTTCCTTTCATTCGTGGTCGGGGAAACGAGATAGTTCCGAAGAGTTAGAAAAGAGACCTTCGTTTCATTCGTGGTCGGGAAAACGGGACAGTTTTGGAGCGTTAGAAAAGAGACCTTCTTTTCATTCATGGCCAGGAAAACGTGATGCCATTGGTGAGTTAGAAAAGAGACCTTCCTTTCATTCATGGTCAGGAAAACGGGACAGTTTCGTTGAGTTAGAAAAGAGACCGTCTTTTCATTCATGGTCGGGAAAACGAGACAGTGCCGAAGAGTTAGAAAAGAGACCTTCCTTTCATTCGTGGTCGGGAAAACGAGACAGTGTCGAAGAGTTAGAAAAGAGACCTTCCTTTCATTCGTGGTCGGGAAAACGTGACAGTTTTGGAGCTTTAGAAAAGAGACCTTCCTTTCATTCATGGTCAGGAAAACGTGATGCGATTGGTGAGTTAGAAAAGAGACCTTCCTTTCATTCATGGTCAGGAAAACGTGATGCCATTGGTGAGTTAGAAAAGAGACCTTCCTTTCATTCATGGTCAGGAAAACGTGATGCGATTGGTGAGTTAGAAAAGAGACCTTCCTTTCATTCATGGTCAGGAAAACGTGATGCGATTGGTGAGTTAGAAAAGAGACCTTCCTTTCATTCATGGTCGGGAAAACGTGATGCCATTGGTGAGTTAGAAAAGAGACCTTCATTTCATTCATGGTCAGGAAAACGTGATGCCATTGGTGAGTTAGAAAAGAGACCTTCATTTAATTCATGGTCGGGAAAACGTGATGCCATTGGTGAGTTAGAAAAGAGACCTTATTTTCATTCATGGTCAGGAAAACGTGAAGCCATTGGTGAGTTAGAAAAGAGACCTTCATTTCATTCATGGTCAGGGAAACGGTCGTCGCCCGACAACCTTGAAACTGATGCCCCGTCCGAGTCAGTCACTCGGAATCAGCTGTCCAACACATGGAAACACTTACCACGGATGGAAGAAACAGACCCAGTGATCCCGGGAGATAATTCCTTTCGCGATACGTTACCGGGAAATGACGATTCCGACTATTTTTTAAAGATCTCATCTTTGAATGTGTTTCCTGAGAAGTGGGATTCACCACAGTATGAACAAGAAACATGAGTGACATCCACGTGAGTGACATCCACATAAGTGACATCCACATGAGTGACATCCATATGAGTGACATTCCCATGAGTGACATCCACATGAGTGCCATTTGCATGAGTAGTAAAGGTGGCTAAATAAAGGGAATTATTCTTGACTTTAGACCGAATCACTGATAGACAAACACAAACAACATTTAAATTTACTTGACCAAATCTTTAGGCAGTGGTGTGTTCCAAACTATGTAGCTTTTGTTCCAAATTGGTTTTAAACTTTGTTGAATTTTCATGTCATTAAGAAAACTTCTGCTTTTTTATTAAAAAAAATTTTTTTTAGGAATTTGGGTTACGCATTCAATGGTTGTTGATTTTTTCCCCCCCCCCCCCAATGTTTGAAAAGTGATGTCATGGTAGAAATAGACATTATCAGCGAGTGACGTAATCAACGGCAACAGTGCGTGACGTAATACACGACATCCGGTGAGTGACGTAATATACGTTTACGGGGAGTGACGTAATACACGACATCGGTGAGTGACGTAATACACGTTTACGGGGAGTGACGTAATACACGTTATCGGTGAGTGACGTCATACACGTTTACGGGGAGTGACGTAATACACGACAACGGTGAAGTGACGTAATACACGTTTACGGGGAGTGACGTAATACATGCACATCATCGGCGGATAACCTGTTCATGCACTCCATGCACACTATCATTGGTTGGCCATGTGCACAGAAAGCTTAACAGTGGGGGGACCCGGACACAAATTATCATTGTCTGGTATAGCGAGACCCAGTGAAATAGCGATTCGTGAAAACAATTAATAGTACACTCCTTTACTAAAATGACATGTCAAATATATATACTAGATGACATTGACTTATTTAATAAAATGACGTGTAGAAATATTTACTAGATGACATAGACTTATTTAATAAAATGACGTGTAGAAATATTTACTAGATGACATAGACTTATTTAATAAAATGACGTGTAGAAATATTTACTAGATGACATAGACTTATTTAATAAAATGACGTGTAGAAATATTTACTAGATGACATAGACTTATTTAATAAAATGACGTGTAGAAATATTTACTAGATGACATACAGATTTATTTACTAAAATTAAAACACAAAAATATATACTCGATAATATAAAGACTTGTTTACTAAAATGACATGTAAGAAATATTTACTAGATGACTCATAGAGTCATCTAGTAAATTTACATGTTAAAAATATATAATATGATGACATCTAGGCTTATTTAGTAAAAATAATATGTAGAAATATTTCTTCTTCTTCTATATCTTAAGGGCCCACGATCAATTTATTGATCATTTTGGCTCCTATGCATGTAGATGGGATTTGCAATGTTTCTGTTCCTGGTGTTGATGAGGAAATTTCACAGATTTCCAGTGCCACTTTGTGAGGGAATCATGCACTGGGGGTTTGAAGGCTTGAGGCAATAGACACAAATGTGTCTAGTGTTGTCGCCTCAACCGTTCCTTTTGAAAGATTGTTCCAGTCCCTGATTGTCTTGGGCAGGAATGAGCAGCTCCTATACTGGCTTCTTGCTGGTATGAGCCTGAATTGCCTGTCATGGCCTCGTCGCTGTCTATGGGGGAGAGGTACGAGTTTCTGTTTAATACTGGAACAGTGGACCAGCCCATTATTTATCTTGTACATCATGGAGAGCCTGGATTGTCGTCGTCGTTTCTCCAATGGTGACCAGCCTAGTGTTTCTAGCATGCTGCCAACACTTGAGGTATTCCTGTAGCGGTTTAGGACAAAGCGTGCTGCTCGTCGCTGGACCGCCTCCAACCTGTCAATGCTCTTCTGGGTAAATGGGTCCCAGACTGAAGATGCATAATCTAAAATCGGACGGATAAAGGCTTTATATGCTCTTTCTTTCACACAGGAGTTGCCAATCTTTAGATTTCGCCTTAAGAACCCTAGGGTCTTGTTTGCTTGGTTACATACATTGTTAATATGTTCATCCCATCGGACCTCTCTTTGAATGGTAACACCCAGGTACTTTACGGAGGTATTTACTAGATGACATAGACTTATTTAATAAAATGACATGTAGAAATATTTACAAGACGACATACATATTTATTTACTAAAATTAAAAAACAAAAATGTATACTAGATAATATAAAGACTTGTTTACTAAAATGACATGTAGAAATATTTGCTATATTCACAGCGTCATCTAGTAAATTTACCTGTTAAAAATATATAATATGATGACATCTAGGCTTATTTAGTAAAAATAATATGTAGAAATATTTACTAGATGACATAGACTTATTTAATAAAATTACATGTAGAAATATTTACTAGATGAAATACAGACTTATTTACCAGATAACATACAGATACTAGATGACATATAGAAGTATTAATGAATGACATGGACAAATATTTACTAGACTGCATAAAGATATAGTTACATGTTGTCAAATACAAAAATCTACAAGCTGACATATACAAATAGTTACTATGACATAGAGAGATAAAAACTAGATGACATTTAGAAATATTTAGACCTACGGGAAGGCATTTATACCTATTTACCAAATGAGATACATAACTAATTACTAAGATGATATTCATTTATTGATCCAAATAAATGGAAGTGTTTTTTTTTTTTTTTTTAAATTATAAATCTTCATTTTCAGCACATAAAAAACACATACTTTAAACAAGACAACGTTTTACTATTAAAACAGTTTAAACAAGGGACATCAGAAGTATATCTCTAATGTAAAAATCAGCCATCATATTATAGCAAACAAAATAAACTCCTTTTGTTGCGATAATGAGTTATCTAATCATTTAGATTTGTAACCGCTACGGGAGCACCCTGGTAAACTATTATTAAAAGACATCTAGAATAATTTACTAGAAGACACATAGAATTATTTACTGGATGAAATTGAATTATTTACTAGACGACATATAGGCTACAATTATTTATTAGATGACATAACGAATTGTTTACAAGATTACATAGAATAATTTACTAGATGACACATGTTAGTTAGTTACTGGATGGAATATAGAATTATTCACAATATGACGTATAGAAATATTTACTGTTTGACATATAGAATTTTTACTACATGAAATAGAGTTATTTACTAGAGGACATAAAACTATTTACTAGATGACATATAGAATTATTTACTAGAAGACATGACTGACATGACATAGAATTATTTACAATATTACATAAAATATTTACTAGATTTCATATAGAATTATTTACTAGATGACATATATAATTATTTATTACATGACATACATAACAATTTACTAGATGACATAGAATTATTACTAGATTACACATATTTGCTAGATGACATAAAGAATTATTTAATAGATGACATAGAATTATTTACTAAATGACATATAATTATTTGCTAGATGACATATATCATTATTTGCTAGATGACATTTATAATAATTTACTAGTTCTAATAGAATTATTTATTAGATGATAAGGCATTATTTACTAGATGACATATAGAATTTTTTACAAGATTACATAGAATTATTTACTGGATGACAATGAATTATTTACTAATGACATTCAATTCTTTACTAGATGGCATATACACTTATTTACTAGATGACATATAGAATTATTAAATAGATAACACATAGAATTATTTACTGGATGACATATATAATTATTTACTAGATGACATATACACTTATTTAATAGTTGAGAGATATAATAATTTACTAGATGACACATAGAATTATTTACTGGACGACATATAGAATTATTTACTAAATGTCATCTATAATTTTTTCTACATATCATTGAATTATTTACTGGATGACATATATATATTTATTTATTAGATGACATATAAACCTATTTACTCGATGACATAAAGACTTATTACTAGATGAACTATAGAATTGTTTTTTAGATGGCATAAAAAGTATTTACTAGATGACATATAATTATTACTAGATTACACATATAATTATTTGCTAGATGACATATAATTATTACTAGATGAAATATAATTATTTAATAGAAAACATATAGAATTGTTTACAAAATTACATAGATATATTTTTTTGGATGCCATGGAATTATTTACTAGATAACATACAATTATTTACAAGATGACATAGAAAAATTTACTAGATGAACTTTATAATTATTTACTAGATGCCATAGAATTATTTACTAGGTACCATATAAAATAATTTAATACATGACATACAATTATTTACTAGATGACAGCTACAACTATTTACTGGATGACAAATAAAATTATTGACTATACCATATAAAATATAATTTTTTACATATATAATTATTTACTAGATGACACAGAATTATTTACTAGATGACATAGAATTATTTTTCTAGTTAACACCAGTAATTATTTACTAGAAGATATATGTAATTATTTTCTAGATGACACATAGAATTATTTACTTGATGACATAGAATTATTTACTAGATAACACCAGTAATTATTTACTATATGACATATAGAGTTATTTACTAGATGACATACAATTATTTACTAGATGACATATAGAGTTATTTACTGGATGATATATATAATTATTTGCTGGATGACGTATGGGTGTATTGACTAAATGGCGTATATAACTATTTACATAAATTACACTTATAATTATTTAGTAGATGACATATAGAAATATTTAAAAGGTTATTTAAAGACTTTGTTGAATTGAGAAAACCACAATAACAAGGTAGCCATTTAATCTAAGAGATATTAGAACACCTGGTGTTGACACGGGCGAGATAGACGACTCGGGCTAGTTTTACCGTAAAACTATCAGTTTCTAAACATAATAGCCCATATGTCATATGATAAAATATCCTCCACACGTGACACCAGAGATCACGTCAGTTTTAACCGTGCACATAAAATCAGTATCTTCATGCATATACATATTTTATTTTAAAAAAGGGTTACGAAGTTACTCTCTCTCTCTCAATTTTATCCAATCCTGTAAGACGGTGAATTTTAACCTTTTTTTTTATTGGACTGGAGCTCTTTTGAGTGTTTAGATAGCTCAGGGAAACCAGTGCAGTGCCACAAGGGTTTACACTAGTCCAAACGAGTCTCATTTTAAGTTAATCCCGTAGCTAAGTAATGGCCACTGTACTGACGAGTTTTGAGATTGTGATGGTCACTATCAACTTTTTTCTCATGTGACGCGGCACTAGCTGTGTCCCCACGTGACGCGGTACCAGCTGTGTCTCACGTGACGCGGCACCAGCTGTGTCTCA